ATTGTAAAGATCTGGCTCAAAGATTAGCAGTATGTGAATCCCATAATATGCTAAATAAACATAATATTCAAGAAAAGAATTGGGGGTAGGCGTGGTGGTGCAGTAGGTTCAAATGTCACTTGTGGCACTGCATTTCATATTGGGGGGCCTGAGATTGAGTTCCATCTCTGCTTCTGATCCAGCTTCCTACTACTGGGCAATCTGGGAGGCAGCTGATAATATCTCACGTACTTGTGTTCTTTTCATTAATGTGGGAGACCTGGATGGAGTTCATGGCTCCTGGCTTCAGCCTGGCCCAGCCTCAACTGTTGCAGGCCTTTGGGGAATGAACCAGTGGATTTAAGAGTGAAATCTCTTTCTCTCTGTCTCTCTACCTTTCAAATAAATAAAAATAAACTTTAAAAAATCTGGTATAAGTTTTCTGTGGCTGCAATAACTAAGTACTAAAAACTGGGTGGCTTGAAAAATAGAAATTTACGATCTCATAGCTCTGAAGGCCATAAATCCAAAATTAAGGTGTTGGCAGGGCCACACTCCCTCTGAAACCTATAAGGGAACATCCTTTTTTGTTTTTTTTTTTCCTTCTTTCTAGTTTCTGGTATTTTGCTGGCAATATTTTGTGTTCTTTTGGCTTGCAGCAGCAGCACTTCAAATTCTGCCTCTGGTGTCCCATCGTGTTCTCTCTGTATTTGTGTCTTCACATAGCATTTTGTCTATCTCTTCTCTTTTTATAAAGACACCAGTCATACTGAAGCAAGAGCCCACTCTTTCAGCATGACCTCATTTCAGCTTACATCTGCAAAGAGTCTATTTCCAAATAAAGTCCCATTTTCAGGTACTGGGGGCAGGACTTAAACACAGCTTCATGGAGGGCATAATGTAATATACAACAAACTCCTGCTTTAGAAATTTACTATTCCTCCTTACTCAATCCTATTTTCTCCTTTCCATATACATCACCCCAACTTGCCTTCCTCTCTCTCCAAAACATCTATCCTATCTTTGTTTTCACTAATATTAGAGGAAGGTCCTTAGAAATATGGGCCAAAATGGCAATCTACAATAGTTTGGAGTTAGAAAAGCCTGTTTCTACTGTGTTAAGGTTCCAAGAAAAAGGATTTTTTTTCCCCACAAACTAGGATTGTTTTAAAGGCTACTGGAGGAATCCAAATGAGAATTCTAGATGTAGGTTTTTTTTTTTTTTAAATAAAAGAGTTATTATAGGGGCTGGCACTGTGGCATTGTAGATTAAATCTCTACCTGCAGAGCTGACATCCTGCCAGTTCGAGTCCCAGCTGCTGCTCTTCTGATCCAGCTCCCTGTTTATGGCCTGGGAATGCAGTAGAAGATAGCCCAAGTGCTTGGGCCCCTGTACCCACGTGGGAGACCTGGAAGAACCTCCTGGCTCCTGGCTTCAGATTGGCCCAGCTATAGCCATTGCGGCCATTTGGCGAGTGAATCAGAAGATGGAAGACTTCTCTCTGTGTCTCTACCTCTCTCTGTCTGTAACTCTGCCTTTCAAATAAATAAATAAATCTTAAAAAAAGTTATTATAAATTGTGGAGAAGGCTTTGAAATCCACCAAATTAAAAGATTAATAATGTGCTACTGGTTGACATAATAATGTTGATGTCATGGATAACATAATTGATAGAGAAAAATGCATACAGATTTCCAAACAATAAGCTCACAAAAGAACTTTGAGAATATGCTCATTTGTAAGTAACTGTATTAGTCCATTTTTTCAATAACAAAATACCAAAGGCATGCTGTTTTATAAAGAAAAAGGTTTGTTTTGGCTCACAGTTCTAGAAGTATAAAGTCTAGGGGGGGCTTCATCTGGTGATGACCTTTTTACTGGTAGTCTTGAGGTAGTACAAAGCATAACATGAGAAGAGACAGAGAGTGTTCATGTTTTCATGTTTCTTCCTCTGCTTATAATCATGGCAGCTCCAATCTAATGATCTTATCTAATCCTAATCACTTCCCAAAGGCCCCATCTCTAAACAACATAGTTGGATTAAGTTTCCAGTCTCTTAATACTTCACAATGGGGACTGAATTTCAACACATGAAGCCTTGGAGGACACTCAAAATATATCCCAACCTTAGCAGTAAGAGACTGCAAGTATAGAACAATTTAGTATCAAAATAACAAGGGCACAAATGTTTTTCTCAGTGGAAGCATCTTCAAGTACAGGTTGAAGACAGTTTTAGGGAACTGAGTATAGGGAAAGGCCAAGTCAATGTTCCTCATATTCAAATCCATGTGTTCTGAGAAATTTTTAAATTCCATATTTTTATTTTGAAAACACTAAAGTATATAAAGAATATTCTAGATAATTTGCATGAATATCTTATAAATGAGCAAAAGTACACAAGTCAGTGATGTATTTACATTCATGTTTAGGAACGCATAAATGCCAAGAAAGTCTCTAAAATGACAGTGCTATATTCCTATTGTGTTTTTAATTTATTATAAAGACAAAATTTGTCTTTTACAGTAACAATTTACAATTGAAAAATATCTACATGGACTAAGACCTGAAGAATTGAGACTTCTATCTGCCATTCTGAAAATGACAGTGTGGCAGAATAACATTAACATGTAAATTATCTCAGGCTAAGAAGAAAATAATACTCAAAGATCTGTTTGTACCAAGTGGAAATCAAATGATAGCATAACATGCTGTACAAATAAGTGAAAGAATTAACTCATTGCACATAGTAATAGTTGATGCAAAATTAAAAGATTCTGTATCATTACTTACTTAAAGGATATTATTACGTTAATTATTGCAGCAGTTCATAAGAACTGTTTCATAGGAAATACACAATGGAAAATGTTTCCACCCCAGTATCATAAGCATACTGGCTTATTAAATAAAAGAAAGAGGTTGTGTAAGGTGATCAGGAGACATGGGAACTCATTTTAGGAGGGGGATATGGAATAAGAGAAGGCACAGGGGTGAGAACAACTGAAGAAGGTAAATAAACTAGCCTGATACAATGGAATGCTCCACAACCTGTGAATGAGAAGGTTAAGGGATAAGGCTGATGACCTTACACAAAGAAGGCCTTGCATAAATTAGGTCATTTGAATGTTATCAAAATAGTCTTTCTATTTCTGTTCAACATGTAGGTACTGAAAGTTTACTGTATGACAGCCAAAGTAGTACACACTGGAGATACAAAGCTTCGGAAGAAGAGACTTCTATACTCAATGGAGCCATAGTACAATGGCGGCAGACAGACATAAACATATACATCCAATAGAGTGTGATGAATGAATAATCTAAAGATGTCTCAAATTGTTCAAGAGATTTCTGAAAGGAATTCCTATGTATCATGAGGAATTTCCTTAGTATACTCTTAGGATTATTTCTCCATGGAAGAAAGGTGAAAGTGTCTATTTTACCCTCACTTTCCTAGTGCTCAGCCCAGTGCCTCAAATTTTTGCTTAATAAATGAGTATATTTTGAGATGGAGGACAACTTTATATTAAGGAGTACTTTGAAAGAATAATTTCACTTCCAAATTATCTCCCTAAGTCAGATAATGCAGTTGAACTGATAGTAATGCAATCCTTAACTCTTTTGTCTTGGTCTTAAGAGGAAAAAGCCAACGACAAATAAACCACAAATTTTAATGTAATAACATTGGAGGAAACAGAAAACAAAGAACAAAGATTGCTATGATAGACAAGGGAAAAGGTGTTTTAAAAAGTTAGATCAAGACTATTCTTGTTGGTACTACAAATATCCTTTTTGAGAATTCCAAGACACAATCCAATCCCTCTGACTTTATTAGGATACAATCTAATCCTGTCAAGTCAATCACCTGCTTTACTTTGCATTAACCAAGATATAACATCATCTTAATTGTCTTCTTACCCCCACCCTCAAAGCATGTAAATATTTGGAATTACTGACCTATGTCTTCTTTGCAGCTATAACTCCTGTATTTAGAAGTGTGTCTAGCATATATGAGCTGTTCAAAAACTATTTGTTAAATAATCCCATATGACTAGATTTGTTCTGTTACAACTATTCAAATGGAAAGAATGTCCCAAACCTGACAATATTCTCTAGGATCAAAGATGGGCGAATGGAGGTACAAGTGGTTGGGAGCAATTAATTAGACAGAAAGAAAATGACTCGGCAATTGATTGTGGGAGTAATGGGAGAGGGAAGACTATACTGTATGATCAGAGTTTGGTAAATACTGGCTGTTAATAAAAATAACAGTAATCTGCAGCTCTGATACTGAGGAAATGGGTGTGAGCGGAGAAATAGCTCCTATCCAGCTGAGAAAGGAGAGGTCAATAATGGTTGGTGGAAGAAAGATGCACAGGGGGCTAAGAACCCCAGAGGAGCATGAACAGCCAGAAGTAGGAAGCAAAGGAGAATATGACGTCATCGGCCAAGGGCGTCAAGTCTCAGGCGATCTCTGGGGATTCAAAAGCTACAGAAAGGTCTTGCAGAATGGGTACTGAGGAAAAGTCAGCATTTTCCTCCACTTTAACGTCACCTTAAGTGACGCACTGTGATACTCTGTAACTCGAGGCCTTTTCAGAGATAGAAAAGGTATTCCGGCAAAACTGGATCTGCCCAACAATTCGAACTGTCAACATCAGAGAAATCCAAGTCACCCTTGCACTGCCTCCTCGCTCCCCCCACCACCTTTTCATCAACAGCTCTGCGCTCCCTCCGCCGTTGTCTCCCCGCCTCCCTCAGAGCGAGCCCTGGTCCATTTACCTGTCTGGGCACCCTTTGTGGGCGCACGGGCTCAGGACCAAGGGACTCAGGTCAGCGTTGGGTCGCCGATTGCCCGCTCCCAGAGAAGGTTGTGACGAGACGCCGCTTACTTCCGCGTAAAGCGCCCCGCCTAGCGTGGCCTCCTGGGAGTGTGAGTGCTCCTCCAATGGGCGCAGGCGGTGGGGCGGGGCCTGTTGCGTTCCCAGTCACCGGCCCTTCCCAGGAACCGAACTGCATTTCGGGAGTGGTAGTTCCGATTGGCGTAATCCCGAGTCTGTGACACAGTCAACAACTCTCCTTGTAAATAACGTTAAATGCTTTACAAGGATACAGGAAAACTAGAGGATACAGGACTACAAAATAATATACCAGAACTGTGTGGGCAGGATAAATGAATTGTCGAGCTTGCTCCGCCATCTCCCAGCTTTGTCTCAGCAGGTTAGTATTATCGCCTATTAATTTACAAACAAAATAGAAGTCATCTGACAGAACTCTCCACTTTCGCCATGAAATTTTCTAACTTTCTTAGACCCGTCACCAATCCTCTTTCCCCTACTTTTGTAATAACAATAATAAACTACCTTCATTTAATCTAAGACCACCCTCTTACATCCCTATTCCTTCTTGCCAGGTCAGAGTCTAGCTTCTCAATGGTGAACCCTTCCTTCTCATGACTCAGCGGCTCCAGGCTTACTCGCTCTTTATTAGCATATTTTCTCTCTTCTGAAACAGTCCGCAGTCACTTCTCTCAGTCCCACAGCCTCAGCCTCCTCACACACAGACTTAAGCCAGTGGCTTTTCTCCCACCTCTCCATTCCTGCCAAAATTATTTGTGGTGTTGCTAAGATAAATACTTTGTGGCCATTGCCATACTTCTGCTCTCCAACATTTAAAAATAATTATTTCCTCCGTTTTGAAGTCCCCTGGGTTCTTAGCTTTTCCTAAGACATCACTATCTTTAGGTTCTCCTCTCACGTCCATGGCAGCTCTTCATTTTCCTTTGTAATGTTCCCATTCCATAGGGCTGTGCCCTACACTCTATCACTTCTCACACTCTTCCTGGTGGTATTAACCATTACCATTGCTTTGGTTATAATCTGTATAGTGATGATTCCCATATAAAGGAAGCCCAGACAACACTCTTGTAACTCTGTCAACTATTTAATGGCAGCTGGGAATCTCTTTCAGGCACCTAAAACTTAATATAATCCCCAATTGACCTAATACATTCCTGTTTTCTTTTTTTCCCTAACCTGCATCCTTTCAGTGCCCACACCGGAAAGCTGGGTATCATCTTGAATGCTGTTACTCCCTCAAAGCTCACATCTAAACAATAAGTAAGCCATAATAATTCTTTTGTTTTGTTTTGTTTTGTTTTTGACAGGCAGAGTTAGATAGTGGGAGAGAGACAGAGAGAAAGGTCTTCCTTCTATTGGTTCACCCCCCAAATGGCCGCTACGGCTGGTGTGTTGCGGCCAGCACCCTGTGCTGATCCAAAGCCAGGAGCCAGGTGTTTCCTCCTGGTCTCCCATGCAGGTGCAGGGCCCAAGCACTTGGGCCATCCTCCACTGCCTTCCCGGGCCACAGCAGAGGACTAGAGCCCAGCACCCATATGGGATGCTGGCGCCGCAGGCGGAGGATTAGCCAAGTGAGCCGCGGCACCGACCTAAGCTATATTAATTTTGTCTCTTAAATATCTTTTCTCACTTGTCAGTTTCAGTTTTTCTCAATTTAAAATGAGAATCATAGTAGTATCAAAGATTGGCACAGTGATTAATGATCAGTATTGCAAGGCAGAGTATATAAAGCAGTCAGGAACAGTGACAATTTATTGAGCAGGTGTTATTTTTGTCATTAGTTATCCTTCATTGTGTCTTCATTAGGTCATAATGACAGCTAACATTTACTTTTATTTAATTTAGATGTAAAGAAAAGGAAAAAATGAGGAATTGTGAAATGTTTTGTGTATGTTACCTTACTTGATTCCTCAGAACTTTTCCAAGCACTGGAAAATGTACTGGTCATGAGGCACTGTGTACATTGTTATGCTCTAACAAATGCAATATATACCAAATTTTGTTTATTGTGTTCACCTCTGGATAGATTATAGGTGAACTAAAGTACATTCAGAGAATTGTGACTAAAATAAATTGGGAACTGGAAATCAGGAATAATATTTCTGTACCTATAGTATCTCCTTTACATATTCTTTACCTCCACTTCCGTTCCTCATGACTTTAGATTACTCTAAGACAAAATCTGACCACTTTGCAATCCTGCTTAAAATCTTCATTGGATCCTCATTATATAGAAGATAAAGTCTAAGGTGCTCACAAGACATTCAAGACTTTTCATGATCTGATCATTGTGGGGAGCATCTTGGACTAGACTAAGTTACTGGAATTAAGACTTATTCTATGCATCTGCTCTCGCACAATATGGCACTGGGAGAGGAGGCAACAGCTTCTACCCAGCTGCCTCTCACCAACTTGACAAGCTGCAGGACCTGCTCCTGATTGGAGGAGAGCAGCGTACTCGGCGTGTGGGTAGCAGAGTTGGGATTGGTGGAAGAGGACTATAAAGGAGGAGAGAGACAACATGCACCAGGAACATCTAAGGGGAACACCTGAGGAACACCTGTGCAGCCCCCGAGAGAGCCGGCCGGCGGTGTGCCGCTCCCCCGCAGAAGTGGGGAATGTGGCAGGGGGAACCGCCCTTCCACGGAGGTGGAAGGGACGGTAGCCAACCCGGGAAGAACCAGCAGCAAACCCGGGGAGGGCCGAGCAGACGAAAGAACAGCGCAGGGTCCTGTGTCGTTCCTCCACGAAGACGGGGAGCGACAATCATTCTCTACCTCTCCTGCTTCAAATTTTGCTTTCCCCATCACATACCCTATGTTTAAGCCTGTTCCTGTATGGTGGCTGTGATGGTTTTGTGTCAACTTCACTATGCTACAGGGTGCCTACATTGAACATCAATTTTGGGTGTGTCTGTAAAGATGTTTCTGAATGAAATTAGTATTTTAATTGGTGGACTCAGTAAAGTGAGTGAGCATCATTTACTCCATTGAGAGAGGACCTGAACAGAACAAAAGGAGGAAGAGGAGGAATTTGCCCCCCCTTCCGTATCACTGCTTCATTTGGGACATCTTAGCTCATCTTCTGCATTTGGGCTGGGATTTATACATGTGGCTCAATAGTGTGGTGTTCCTTGCAGGTTTTTGTAGAAGCACTTTTGTCAGGCTAAGGAATATACTTTTTTTCTGTTATATTTATCTTCATTATTCCTCAGTACTTCCTTTCCTTTGTTATTAATTTCTTTTTCTTTTTGTAAGATTCCTATTGTCTAGATATCAGTACATTGGTACATCAAATTCAATTGCTGACATCCCTTAGGTTTTCTTTAGATTTTATTTATTTATTTATTTGAAAGTCAGAGTTACACAGAGAGAGGAGAGGCAGAGCGAGAGAGAGAGAGAGAGGTCTTCCATCCGCTGGTTTACTCCCCAATCGAGCACAAAGGCTGGAGCTGCGCCAATCCAAAGCCAGGAGCCAGGAGCTTCTTCTGGGTCTCCCACTTGGGTGCAGGGGCCCAAGGACTTGGGCCATCCCTCCACTGCTTTCCCAGGCCATAGCAGAGAGCTGGATCAGAAGTGGAGCAGCCAGGACTAGAACCGACGCCCATATGGGATGCTGGCACTTCAGGCCAGCGCATTACCCCACTGCGCCACAGCACCAGGCCCAGGTTTGGTTTTATATATATGTGTATTTGGTCTCTCTCTCTCGCTCTCTCCTTTTTTTATTTTTTTGCATTCTAGGAGAATTCCTCATTCTTATCTTCCAATTCACAGATTGACTTTTTTTAGTTGTTTGCATTATCCCATTTATCTTGATCTTCATTATTTTCATATTATTTCAAAGGCAGAGAAAGAAGGAGAGAGACACAAAGAGAGATAAAGAGACCAAGAGAGATATTTGATCAGTTTGTTTACTTCCCAAATACCCCAACAGCGGGGGCTGGACCAGGCCAAAACTAGGAGCCTGGAACTGAAACCAGGTTTCCAACTTGAGTGAGAAAGACCTAAGTACTTGTACCATTATCTACTATCTTCCATGTTATGCATTAGCAGGAAGCTAGAATAAGTGGAGCTGGGATAAACCCAAGTGTCTCAAACAGTGCCAAATGCCTGCCGGAATCTTTATCTTTTATGCGATCTTTCATTTCGTTCTTTTTATGTTGTATTACTTTTGTATCATATTGCTAACATCCTCTCTTACGTGTTATTGTATATCTATTATGCTTATTTTAAATTCGTGGTATTCCTAATTTTAGTAGTTATGCTTCTAGTAGAGTCTGAAATCTAGATTTTCTTTTGGAATACCTATGCTTCTTCTTTATATTGTTGGCCTGTGAGCCTATATTATATCTAGGTTGCTTCAAAATGGCCAAAGTCAAGACCTGTGTCAGCTACAAGGTGGTGGGTAAGTAGAAGGGGGTGTAATGACCCCAAGGGTGAAGAGCTTATAAATCACTAGAAGTCTGATTATCATTCTTACCCACTATGACACCTCCTCAATTCAAAGCTTTATCTTCAACCTTCCAGGAAGAAGTCTTAGAATAAAATACACATAATATTGTATTCTACTGACTTTAAAGTTAACTTACTTTCACAGAGATTCTGTGCTTCGTTGATTTTACTTTCAACACTACCTGTGCCAGAAGTATGAGTTATTTATTTTAAATACAACTATATGTTTATTGAAACTTGTTATATTATTTTGAAATGTTATTTGTTTGAAGAGGAGAGGGATAGAGAGAGAGAGAGAGAGAGAGAGAGAGAGAGAGAGAGATTCCATCTGCTGGTTCACTCTCCAAATGTCTGCAACAACTGAGCCAGCCCGAAGCCAGGAGCCAAGAGCTCCATCTGGATCTCCCATATGGATGGCAGAGACCCAAATACTTGAGCCATCATCTGCTGCCTCCCAGGGTACACATTAGCAGGAAGCTGAATCAGAAGAAAAGATGGGACTCAGTTCCAGGCATTCCCATATAAGATATTGGTGTGCCAAGCAGTAGCTTAACTGGCTGTGCCACAACGCTTTCCCTGAAACTTATTTTAAACCAAGTCAGAGAAGATACTCCTAAAGTTAGAGCAGTAAATTATAAAACTTCCTCCCTCTGGAAGTAAGCTCTCTCACTGCAACTTTGGCAGTTTTCTCAACTTCCCTATTTTTATACTCCAATATTGAACCTTAAAAAGCTTTTTAGTTATAAGGAAGGAAATTGTAATTTACAACTGCCTTCTAGGAAGTATAGATCTTGTTAAATAAAAATGAAACAAGGTATTTTTTCTGACCTCATTGATAGCTTTGGATACGCAAAGGTCAGAATGGAGTGGATTTTGGGAGTAAAAGCCAGGGATCTTTAAGAAAGGTGCTCACCTGTGGAACAATAAATTTTTGTTAGAGATGTGGGATCATGTAGAAATCCAGGAGGTTCTATTCAAATCACATAGTTGGATTCACGCGAAGGACAGTGGTACTAGACAAACAAAACACTAGATATTCACTACAGCTGAATTGCTTGTTCTTCTTCTTCTTCTTTTTTTTTTTTTTTTGATAAGCAGAGTTAGACAGTGAGAGAGAGAGAGACAGAGAGAAAGGTCTTCCTTCCATTGGTTCACCCCCCAAATGGCTGCTATGGCCAGCGCGCTGCGGCTGGCGCTCTGCGCCAATCTGAAGTCAGGAGCCAGGTGCCTCCTCCTGGTCTCCCATGCAGGTGCAGGGCCCAAGGACTTGGGCCATCCTCCACTGCCTTCCCGGGCCACAGCAGAGAGCAGGACTGGAAGAGGAGCAACCGGGACAGAATCCAGCACCCCAACCAGGACTAGAACCCGGTGTGCCGGCGCCGCAGGCAGAGGATTAGCCAAGTGAGCCGTGGTGCTGGCTGTTCTTCATTCTTGATTACTTCATTTTTTATTGGGGTGTTTGTCTTATGCATTTGTGAGAAATTGTGCATGCGTTTATCCTGTATGCACAAATGTCTATTTAGGGTATTGTTAATATTTTAGTTTCGTTACAATATTTCAAAGAAATCTTAAATTTTATGTAATTTTGCCTTTTCCTTGTTTATTAGGGTAAAAGACCTTTATATAGAATTAGTTTCCAATATTTTTCCTAATTTTTTAAAATGTTTAACTTTTATATATATATCTAATATATTTTGATATACACTTACGAGGAAATGGTCAAATTTTTTACTATAGTTTATTAAATAACATTCTTTTTCATCTTGTTTGAAATTATATATTTTATTATATAGCAAATATTTGTGTATAACTGTGCCTATTTCTTCCATTCTGTTTTTTGTTTTTATTCCTTCACTGGCAACAAGTATTTTAATTATTATAGCTTTATGATGTTTTAATATCTGAAAGTGCAAATCACCCCCTGGTATTCTTCTCAAAATACTCTTGGCTAATTTTGTGCATGTTTTACATATAAATATAGGGATAATTTTATCAGGTCCTTCCCTCCAAGTAATCCCATTGGGATATAAATAGAAACTGTATTAAACCTAAAAATTAAATTGGGGAGAATTAAAAACCTTTGACATTAAAACCTTATGACATTTCTTCTTTTAGGAACACAGTACTTTTGTCCATTTATGCAAATATTAAAAGTCCGTCAGGCTGGCTCTGTGGTGTAGTGGGTGAAGCCACTGCCTGCAGTGTCGCCATCCCATATGGGCGCCGGTTCGAGTCCCAGCTGCTTCATTTCTGATCCAGCTCTCTGCTATGGCCTGGGAAAGCAGTAGAAGATGGCTCAAGTGCTTGGGCCCCTGCACCTGCGTGGGAGACCCAGAGGAAGCTCCTGGCTCCTGGCTTCAGATTGGCAAAGCTCTAGCTGTTGCAGCCACCTGGGGAATAAACCAGTGGATGGAAGACCTCTGTCTCTCTCTCTGCTCTGCCTCTCTGTAACTCTGCCTTTCAAATAAATAAATAAATCTTTTTTTTAAAAAAAAGTCTCTCAGTAAGTTTTTTTAAATGTCTTAAATTGTGTTTTATCTTATTATTTTGAAAAAAAATTTAAAATTATTTTTTCATGTTAATGTGGTATTAATACAAAGAGAACAAATTCAGTCTTCACTAGGGTTTAAGGTACTATTATACATTTCCTAATATGGTACAGCTATTTGCTTTGCATTGTATTGTCTTGTTTCTGAAGGAGCTACTTTTTGAGCAAATGTTCTAAATGGTGATTGTTTGTTTATTGGAAAGCTACAGATTTTAAATTTTGTTTATAATACTTTACTAAACACTCTTGTGACTTCTAATAGTTTTTCAGTTAGCTTCTTTGAAATTTTCAAAATACAAATAGACAACAGTGAATTTTATAAATAAAAATATTTCCTCTTCAGTGCAGTGTGCTGGCCACAGCGCACCAGCCGTGGCGGCCATTGGAGGGTGAACCAATGGAAAAAGGAAGACCTTTCTCTCTGTCTCTCTCTCTCTCACTATCCACTCTGCCTGTCAAAAAATTAAAAAAAATATTTCCTCTTACAGTATTTGGTAAACTTTATTTCTTTGTCTTATTTTATTGCATTGAAAAGAAGTTTTAGGGGCCATTGCCTGCAGTGCTGGCATCCCATTTGGGCACCAGTTTGTGTCCCGATGGCTCCACTTCCAATCCAGCTCCCTGCTAATGTGCCTGGGAAAGCAGCAGAAGATGGCCCAAGTGTTTGAGCCCCTTTCGCTCATGTAGGAGACCTGGAAGAAGCTCCAGGCTTTGGCCTGGCCAAACCCTGGCCATTTGGAGAATTAACCAACAGATGGAAGATCTCTCTCTCTCTCTCTCTCTCTCTCTCTCTCTGTAGCTCTGCCTTTTTAAATAAAAAAAAAAAAACGCTTTTAAACCCTTGTCATATTGGTAGTGGTCATCTTTGTCTTGGTTCTAAGAATTAGTGCTAATTACAAATAGTCTTTATCATGCTAAAATGAAATATACTTTTAGTGTAATTTCTCAAGTTTTTTAAAAAAAACTGATTATGATGCATTTTTATCAAATAAATTTTTGACATCTTTTACAATTGGGAAATATTTCTAAGCATATTAATGTGATGATTTATGTTACAAATTTCCTAGTATTGAATCATTTTTCCTGGTATAAAAATTACTGGGCTATGCTGTATTTAGCTTGCTAACATTTAAATTTTAAAAAATATTATTTATTTATTTATTTGAGAGAAACAGAGAGAGAGAGAGATACAGATAGAAGGAGCTCCCATCCTCTGGTTCACTCCCCAAATGCATGCATGCAATGACTGGGATTGGCTAGGCCAAAGCTGGGAGCCAGTAACTCAATCCAGGTCTCTCACATGGGTGGTAGAAATCCAATTATTTGAGCCATTGCTGCTGCCTCCTAGGGTCTGCATTGGCAGGAAGCTAGAATCTGGGAAAGACCCAGGTATCAGACCTAGATACTTTGGTGTGTAACATGGACATCTTAGGTTAAGTGCCCACCCCTGCTAGCATTTTAAAAAAAAGATTTTAGTCTAGGAGTGGACATTGTGGTATAGCAGGCCAAACCACTGCTTGGGACATCCATGTCCCATATCACAGTGCCAGTTAGAACTAGCTACTCCAGTTCTGATCCAGGTTCCTGCTAACACACCTGGGAAGGCAGTGGATGATACCCCAAATACTTGGGCCCCTGCCATTCATGTGGGAGACCCAAATGGAGTTCCTGGCTGCTGACTTGAGCCTGGCTGTTGCAGGCATTTGGGGAGTGGATAGATTTTGTCTCTCCCGTATTTTGCTTTTCAAATAATAAAATGTATGTTTTAATTTTAATTTTGGTATTCATTTCATAGAAAATCAGGGTGTTATCTGTTGGTTTAAGTGTTCAGGAACCATTAAAATATTATAATATCCATTCCATGGATGCTTGTAATAATTTACCTGAAAAACCCTTATTTTCCATAAACTAAATTTATTTCATGTTTCTTGATCTACCCAGATTTATTTCTCCTAAAATCAGTTTTGTTGTCATTTTCATAGGTAATATTTTCATCAATATCTTAGAATTATTACATTATATTATAAATACCTAGGAAAAGCTACTTATGAAGCAAGGATGTTTATTTTGGCTCACAGTTTTGAAGTTTCACAGTCTAAGACTGGATGGACTCACTGGTCTGGCCAACTGATGAGGCAGGAGGATCACAGTGGTGGTGTCAGTGTGCAAAGGAACAGTCATATGATAAGCCAGAAAACCAAGAAATTGGGACTGACTCAAACATTTATAATCAACACACTCATGACAATGACCTTCCAAGTGCATTCTCCCAGTGACCTAAGGACTTCCTATTGGGCCCACCTTCTAGATACCACAATGGGATCAAACCTCCATCCTGTTTGTACTATTAATCCATGACTTTGAGACTTAACCTTCTGCAGCAATTCAAGAGCTGTGTTCTATTCAGGCCATTGAATTCTGCTCCTGCTGCCCCAATCTCATGTCCTTCTCACATACAGCATAATTCATTCTATATCTAAAAGTTTCAAAGTCTTAACTCAATCCAACATTAATTCAATATTCCAAAGTCCAATGTCTCACTTGAGACCTAAGCAAACTCCCTTAGCTTTGAGTCCTTGTAGAATAAAAAATAAGTTAGGTACTTCCAAGATAAAATGGTGGAACAGACACAGGGGTAAACCTTCCCATTCCAAAAGAAAGGGGCTGGGGGATAGGAAAGAGGAATTGGCCAAAAGCAAGACCCAAATCCAGCAGGGCAGAGTTTAAATCCTAGAGCTCTATGTCCAATATCTGAGGCACACTGTGGCAGAAGATGAGTTCATAAGGACTTAGACAATCCTGTCCCTGTGGCTTTGCTGGTCACTGGGAATTCTTCAGTTCTCACAATTTGGAGTCTTACCTCTTCAGCTCCACTGGACATTATCCTGGTGGGGTTTGTATGCAGCAGCTCCAATACCACATTTCCACTTGGCATTGCCTACTGGGGGTTCTCTGAAGTGGCTTTGCTACTGTGACACATCTCTGCCTGGGCCCTTAGGTTGCCCAAGACATTCTTTGAAGTCTAGGTGGAGGCTTCCATGCCTCCAAAGCTCTGTTAGTCTTTACCTACATGGCTGCTCACTGAGGCTGCACATTGATATTTGCTGCTTTCCCAGGTTTGCCTGACACGCTACTTGTGGCCTTCCATGGTGGATGTCTCACATTGCCAATACCTCTACCTTTCTGGGGTCTCCACTGTGGCTTCACTCCCATGGCTTCACTAAGCATTGCCCCTGCAGGGGCTCCAGAACTCTAACTGGCGTCCTAGGCTTTCTTTTGAAATCTCTCTGCTCTGCTCATTTTTGCTCTTGATTATCACTGCAAAACTCACCAACAGTAACCAATAACACCTGCAGGCTGAATGCTGCCTTGAAGTTTCTTCTGTCAAGCAAGTAGTCCGCCATATTTAAGTTCAGCCTCCTACAACACTTCAAGACATGGACATGAATAAGCAGGTTCTATGCCATGGTGTAACAAAGATGTCCTTTAATATGATTCTCAATAGATTCTTCATTTCCACCTCTTTCCTAGTTTCCTTGTCTTCTGAGCTCTAATCAGAATCACCTGTAATTCTCCACTTTTGGCATTCTAAGCTTCTCCTGGCCTCATCCTCCAAACTCTTCTGACATCTTCCATTTAACCAACTCCAAAACTGCCACCATATTTTTAGGTAGTTATAGTAAGGGCCCCACTCCTCAGTACCAATTTTCTGTATTATCTTTTTACTACTCAGTGAAATACCTAAGACAAGCTGCTTGTGAAGGAAAGAGGTTTATTCTGACTCATGGTTTTGTAGTTTCAAAGTCCAAGATCAAGTACCCCCCACCTTGGTTCAGCCGTTTAGTGAGGTCAGATGGCAACGACCGAGTATACGTGGAAGAAAAATCACATAGTGATTTAGTGAGCTGGGAAGCAGAGAGAAAGTGGGCCTGATATCAGGCTTTTATAGCTAACCCTCTTATAAGAACTACCTTCTAAGAGCATTCTCCCCAA